TACTTCTATACTGAGATTTATTTTTGCAAATTCTAAATGATTGAATTAATTTTACACTTGAGGAAAACATTGCTATTCCTGGTTACTGAGTCACCCTTTTACTTGTAATACCTTTCTGTCACTAGGAAGAGGAGTAGTTCTGTGTTGTGTGATGATCGTGGTGTTCACTTACCTATAGCTAAGGTTGTGTCTTAAAAATTGATCTTGTGTATATCTGGGCAACATGGTTTAGTTACAAGTCCCCTTTTATCTGTATTGTTCCTTGCTTCTTGAGGGAGGTGGAGAGCATTGTAGGGAAGGATCTAGCCTAGTGCACATGTGAGGGAAGAAATGGATCTTCAGAATTTCGACAGCAAATGTAAATTTTGAGATAAGAAATTTATTTTAAAGGTGAAGTTTTTGATGTTACTTAGGAAATACACAGCTCAATGAAGTTAGAGGATAAAGCTGTTAAACTACTGAAAAGATGACCCACCAATGTATCAATTGGTGTTTATTCTAAGAAGGGGTTAGATCAACCCCCCCCATCCCACACCAGTGAGATTAACACCAGTGTAATCTTCCAAGCACATTAGGCTGGTTATGTATTAAGCCTTTGCAAGAGAAATTCTGCTTATTGGTTGGATGATAACAATAGGTAGGACACTTTAAAACTGAAATTGTTTGCTTGCTTGCTGACATGTTTTTAGACAGTATTTTTAATACAGGGTGACATCCCAATTTACCATACTTTGGTTTGTGTCTTGGGAGTGGGCTTAGAGTGCACAAATTAGATGGCCTTTGGGGGAAGCTAAATCAAGCAACTTAGTTCATCTGCAGCTGGTGTTCAGTCACGGAGCCAGCCTGGAACTAATCAGGCAAAAACCCTCTGAAAGTGTATGTCAGGCCCTAAGCACTGACTGATTTGCTTTACAGATTGGCTCCAGTTAGCTTATCCATATGTTAGCTGTTAGTGTGTCTCAGGAGTACTAGTTCAACATGTAGCACCACAACAGTGTGACCTCTGAGGCAGAGAGAAAAGCCAGTAACGAAAGTGGAAATGGTATTTAATGATACTGTTTTAGCAAGTGTAAAACGAAACAAAAAATCTCCTAATATGTCTGTGTTTTGGTTTTTTCCCCAATTTCAATTGAAATGTACAATATTAGTGGGTTTGTTGGTTTATTTTAGAACTATGGGAGAATGTGTATCTGTAGAACTTGAAAATTGGGAAAATTCAACTGTTCTCAATTCAAAGATAATACACTTTCCTATCTCATTGTGTTTTCTGGGCTCTGATTCCACTAAACATTCATTTGGTTAATGTTAAATGTGTTCATTTGTAGAAATCCCAAGCTCTTTTGTAAATAAATGTTGAGAAACTTAGTTAAGTTCCTTCCATGGCAAACAGGAATTCTTATCCCTTCATTAAGAAATTAGCATTTAAGGCATAAGTGATAAATCCAGGGTATAGCTTTTTTCTTTAACTTGGTGGGGGACCGAAGCAATAAATGATCAACTCATTTGAGCATGATTAAATTGAGGTTAATCATGATTTATATCAGTTTGAAGTTAAACACAGGTTGAAGGGTAGAGTAGTTCAGGTTTACAGCTAACTTCCATTAGGTTTGTGAAGATTCTTTTATATAATCATTGATAGTTTAATACGGTTTTCAGGATCATTTTCAGTAACAAATAAAAGTTAAGCAAATCTTGATTTTATGCCATGTTCTTGTTCTTCTAAGGCAACACCTTAGTTGCTGAACTTTCCACTTCATAAAGCACTATTGTATTAACTATGACACATAAGTGTGCTCTATGCCTGTATGATTATCTCTGTGCTGGAAGGGGTATAATGTAAGACAGTGTTTGGTGATGTATAGCTTTTATACTGATGTGGTGCAAAACTTAGTAAATACCAGTACTATTGCAATATGAGCTTTTTTGGGCTTCTGTTGTGTCTCTGTTGCTTCCCATTTCTGGGTAATGACCTTGTGTGCTTCCACTTAGAAGGGTAGGGGAAATTGGAGATGGATATACTAACCCAACTTGATGATGTTCCTTTCTGTTCCTCTATCATATCAAAGCCAGGTTGCAGTGTGGGGACTGAATACCTATTGTATGTGTTATTGGGTGAGCCCCCCCAAAAAGAGAGGTTTATTTTGGGATCTTCCTGCATCCCAGGTAAGTGTCAGAGGAATAAATTTTATACTCTGCAACATACAACACGGTCTGAAATTTCCCAAGTCCAAGAAATCCATCTTGACTGATGGAAAGAGATACACACCACTTTTGGTTAAACCTCTCCTGTCCTCTTGTCCAAAGGTGGCACAGTACCATAATAGTTGGTGGTGTCACAGTGCTCTCCCTCTGCATCTGTATTTGCATAATGGAAGAGTCAACTGGGACTGATAATGTGTACTGTAATCATGATTGGGAGACATTTTGCAGTAAGGGATAGTTAGGTTTTAAAATAGCTTTGTGGGTCAGATGTGAACATACATTTTAGCACACTCTTTAAATGTTTTTTTCTCTCTGCATCTGACACTGTGCACAGTAGAAATTATTACTTTGCAGGGGAGAATGGCATCCTTTATAAGAGACAAAAGGAGAGCTGTAAAGGGAAGTCTGAGTAGCTTGAGGGTTTTATATCGGTATAAAACATCCATGCTGGTTTGTACTAACATTCGTATCAAACATAGGTAATGTTGTGCTTTGAAATTGTGTGGAATTCTAAGCCTCTTTGAGTAATTGGAGAACTGTAACTAGCTTGGAGTATCTTAGTGTGTCTTTCTTACTGCCAAGTCAGGATCTTTATTGAGCTAGAAAACTAAATACAGTGCTCAGTTCCGTACAAAACAGAAACATCAAAGTTTGTATCATAATATTTTCTTTCCAAAGATAGAATAAAGCAGCTGCTCCACCCTAGCTATGAAAGGAGAAAGAATTTCCTAAAAGCCTGCTCTTGAATTTATTTGTTTTTAAAGAGGTAGAGATTTTAACAATAGGATAAAAGGCCTCCACAGTTCCTTTTTTCCTAGTTTATTTGTAAATAATACCCACCTTGCCAGAGCCAGGGTGTGCATTTCAATAAGTCTGCAAAACTAAATATTTAGAAGTCATGGAGTGCTTTAATCTTAAACGAGGGCTTATACCTGTTTTCCTTACCACAAACATTTCCTTTTGAGAACAGCTTCCAAAGTAATAAGCCCTGCAGCTAAATCCCCATTAAAGGAGAGGCTTTATCATGCTGGATAATTGGAGGGGATGTGATTGATGAAAGCAGCTGGGGCTGTGCTGTGAACGGAGCAGACCTGTACTGTCTCCAGCGTGGAGTTATGTTATCTTTTGCTCTGTTCTAGTTAAAGTTGTTACCTCCTAATGGGCCTTTGACGATGTGTTTCCAGTTTCAGAACCACTAAGGCAGATTATGTAAAGTTCTGCAGTACTGCGTTCACATCATGGCAGATACCACAGAATAGTTTCTTTTTAATTTTACACATGTTGATGCACTTCTAATTTTAATTCTATCCCACTTCTCCCTGTCTGTAATTAATCTGTGAAATCCTGTGTGCTGTTTCTAAAGCAGTCTATGTTTTTGATGTAGTTTTATTGTTGAAATGTCCAGGGCTATTTGCTGTATCTTTCACCTGAAGAAGGAACTTGTTGGGAAGAAGTTGCACCTGTTTTTAAGGTTCTTTACTGTATTTTATGTGCTATTTTAGCTACACTTAGGCCTGCTGGAACATTCATGCTCATGTATTAGTTTGATAGAGGAGATGTGTGTGTGTGTGTGTGTGTGTGTCTGTCTGTCAGTTTTGTTGTGTGCAACAAAAGGGATTTAGAGTTGGATACATTCGCTTTTCTCTAAAAGCAATCAGTGTAGGAGTTCATAGAAAGCTAGGGAGTTTTGTTCTCTGAATTTTCCAGAGTAGAGGCTTTTCTGTCTCCAAATAAAAAAAAACAATCCCTCTTTTCTTTGAAACCCAGTGTTTACTGCACCAGCTCAGTTAACAGCCATCAGTTGGAACCAGAGTACTGCATTGTCTTTTAATTTTACAGAGTTCAAGGTATTTAGCAAATGACTTTGAACACTTTGAATTTTCGGTGCAGCAGTCTCTTGGCTTCCTGTCAACAGTCTGCATCTCTTTTTCTGAAATGTGCTATACAGTATGAAAATTACACTTGTTAAGTGGAGCTCACCATTTGGCATTGAATCACCTGCTTTGTTATACTGTGTTAATGCAATTGTTATTAAAGGAGTTACACTCTGAAAATAATAAATGCAGAACATCAAAACACTGTAATGGCATGAAAATACATGAAAATGATAACACTCACTTTGAGATGTTTTTGAAAAAACACATTTGGAAATATCTCTAAGGTATTTTTGATTTTGTTGAAATTATTTTCTTGTGGTAGAGGGCTAAGTTCTTTAAGCATTAAGTTACGGCACAGCAGACCTGCTGTCTGCTTTGAGACCCGTGTGAAATGATTTTGTGGACAATCTAAACATTCTGTGAGTGCAGATCAACAGAGAACTCAAAAGACTGATTTACCTGCATCTGTGGCTAATATTATCTTGCCTACGAGGTTGTCTTTGCATTAAGCAATAGACTGACTGAACAAGTTTGGTTAATTTGCCACGTATATTTGTTGAGCTGGGACACAAACTCCACTTTCTCCTCTCTACCCCTTGAGTACAAGCAGGAAGGTGTTTCATCTTTTTTCCGAATATTTATTTACCTCTTTTGTTTGTTTCTTTTCTTCCTTCCTAACTAGAGGGAGCTTGAGTGTAAGGAAGTTTAGTAAACCTGAAGTGATCTTACGGTCTGAGATCTGAAGATGCTGATTTGGTGTTAGCAAGGTCTGTAGGTGTGCCCAGGTTTGGGCTTTTTTTTGGTTGGTTGGTCTTGGTCATTTATTTATCCTTGCCAAAAGTAATTTTCTTTTTCTCAAGTAGTTAAATTCAGTGTATGTGGTTGCAACACTAATATTTTACTGCTTTTGATTTTTCCTAGGGCGCCAATGCCTCGGCTTTGGAGAAAGAGATTGGTCCGGAACAATTTCCAGTCAATGAGCACTATTTTGGGTTGGTTAATGTAAGTTTCAGACCACAACTTCATTGCTTTGAAGTGCCAGAAGTGATGTTAAATTGCAAGTCTGTGACTCAGTGAATAATTAAAACACTGAAAGATACGCTGAATGTACATATTATTGAAATGTGTTAGAATATTCAGTGTATTTGTTGGAATATGTTGCTGAGGTGATTGTTGAAATGAATTCTGTACTGAATACTTGATTTCATTTTACTAATTGTAGGCTGGTTTTTTAAATCACTTTCTTGCTGTTAAAATGTATGTCTTAGAAAAGGCTATTTAAAATATGTAGTTTGCAGCTCATAATATGTCACTCTTAGTGAAATAAATATAGTAAAAGAAAAAAAATCATGTGAAAGATTGTTGATGATATGAAGTGTTTGTATCTGCTGTTTGTATTGAGCCCAAAGGGGAAAGCAGTGGTGGAAAAAACAGATCAAATTCTTTGATTCACTAATTAGTTTTAAGGAATAATTTAAATTGCAATTTCTGGTATTACTAATTAAAAGTATAGCTTGTTAGAAATTGCATGATACTGACAGGAAATACTAAATTCTTTTCTTTATTGTGGCTTCGGAAAATACATATTTAAACCAAGCTGATTTAACAAGAGCTGTCATCTTGCTTTTCTTAACAAAACTAATTATTTAGTCCTGCTACTGTAATAGATGTCTTGTACTCTTCAGAAAAGGTTCAATAAAGGACAATCTTCCTAATATATAATGAGTATCAGCAAATTCTGGCTTTCTCTACTCCAGAGGGAGTAGAAAATTTGCAGGGATGTATGTGTTTAAGTCATTGCCCTCATCCATACCCATTAGAGATAGACAACTAAGATATCTCAGTGCTTTTAACCTTCTCTGTACTACAGGAATGGTTTTTTTTTTTTATTTTAGCTTCAAACAATAAAGTTTTATGGACCAAAATTATTTGAATTGTAACAAATAGTAAAATGGGATCCCATTACATTTACTGCACTCTGGTGCTGTTTTTCAGGTACAGAGGTTGGGTAAGGAAATTCAGTCATATAGTTGCTTGGATGGTTTTCAGAGCTGTTCTGCAGGTTGTGTTTACTAACATAATCTGTGTACACCATAAATGTGTAACAAGCTTGCAGACTTTAAACCTTTTAGGAAAAGGAAAGGTAGCAGACTATGGCCAATGGCCATTTAGAAAGAACGAGATAATGGTAATGAAAAGATACTAAATAATTAGATAATAAATTGAGTACTGTTAGACTGAGAAGTGACAGAAATCACAATTTTGGCCTTCATTGATTTCTGTAATTGTTTTGTAGCAATTACAAGGAGTGAATCTCTTAGAGGTTCACTAACATTTACTGCTAAATTTTTCTCATTTGTTTATCGATTTTGTTTGGTTTTAACTTTGTCCAGAGCAATGGAAAAAAAAGGGAGATAATGTGGAAATCAATATCTCTCTTCTAACTGTGTGTTAGCTGTTCATTTGAGGTGCCTGGAATGCCAAGAAGGATTTTAGATGAAGATAACAATTCTGAAATAGAGATCTGCCAATTTATCCAGTGGTAGTGTAAAAGAAGAGGAGATAGAAGCACTGTCTTAGCTCCTTCTCCAGCTTTGTGGCAGAATCTAGGGATTATTCAGAAGATGTGCTGAAAAAACAATTTGAGAGGTAAAAGAAGGCTTAAGAAAGGGCAATTGTGGGAAACATATGGAAGACCAGATGGTTGATGGGAATGGAAAATTCAGCTAAGACTTTAAAGGACAATACCATTTGTGAAAGTAGCAAGAAATATTTAAAATACGTGATAAGATTAAAGTGTTAGTAGTTGATGTCCCATGCACATGGATAATCGGGAACATCAAACCTGCCTATCATTCTTCTTTCCCTGTACAGTGCAGTAATGCAAACTATTCAAATCTATGTGCTTCACAAATTAAATCAGTCATTTTATCCAGGGAGTATGAAATAAGATTTTTAATCTCAAATCGCTACTCTGATAGTTCTTTAGCTGTTTACCAGACTTCTAGAGCAGAAAGTTTGGTTATTAGATCCTCTTGCAGTGGATCTGTGTGTTTTGGAGAAATCTTGTTTACTGGAGTGGCCCCTTGCAACAATGAAAAGCTGCCGGAGCTGCCAGTGCATCAGAGCTGGCAGGAGCTCTGGAGCTGCACAGTGCTCTAACCAGATCTAAGTTCTTGTAAATTGCTTTGATTTTGTAGATTTGTGGGGTTCAACAACCAAGTTTCTTCCCAGTTGTGTGTGCATCAGAAGAGTAGACTTTAAGACTATCAGCATTCATGGATGTACAGTGTTTTTGTTGCAGTTTTCCCCATTGTCTCATTATTATTTCCACACAGGTTTGGGTGTTGTAACTTTGATTTCAGAATTAACCCCCCCCAAAAAAAAGGTGGTTGTGGAAAGCATTAGAGAATGCAGCATTTTTGTGAAAGGAAATAGTCTGATGTCTCAGAATTTCAAACAGAAAAACAATCTAAACTGGTAAAAAGAGAAAATGTGGGGTTTTTACTTTTCTTAGACATGCACAGCATAAGGTGGTCCTCGAGAAACAAGGAGGAAAGCAATAAACCAACTGAAAACACTGGTTAAAATAATTCTGCTATACATAGTCTCTCTTACGTTCCCCTGAATGAGACAGGAATTTCTGTATCTCATACAGGCTAACACTATAAGATATAAAATTATGATGATGGTCTTTCTTACAGTTTTCTGTTGTTATTCTAAGGCAAACTTCACAGTTACCCAGTGCAGCCCTTGCACTCACAAGTGTTGTGCCCCTGAGGCAGTGGGGAGAAGGAAGGTGCCTGTTGGCCAGGCTAGCAGCAGCAATGAGGATTGAAGACACAGAATTAGAAAGCAGAGTATAGGTGTTCAGTGGGTGGTGGGAGGATGGGGAGACTGGAGCAAAGTGCTGGGTGTTTTCTAAATGAGGGATGTGATTCCCTAGTGGAGTCAAAGATGAGAAGTAAAGTAATAATGGTGGTAAGACCAGCATTTATTCATCTGTCAAATTCCCTATTTGCTTAGTCTAGAAGTCTCCCCACCTTTTCCCTCTTGTTTAGTACAGGTGCCATTATAATTTTTTAATGATTGGAAGCATTTATTTTAGAAAGATTTTGGGCTGTGAAGCAGTAAAGACTGATGCTTTGGAGATAAATGTGCACTAATTAAATTTTCTTCAAGTGTTTATTTTCAAACAGTCTTCTGTTGCCTACTGTCTTTCTGAATTTGGTTGAAGAAAACCTTTTATGAACTTAATCTGATTGCTTTTCTTTCATTCTCATGGGCATATAGGTTAACATACATTCATATTGAATTAATCTGAATTTTGTTCACTGTTTTAACTTCCTCATAATTTGGTCATCTCTAACTGCATGTTTACCATTCTAATTAATTTATCATCAGACTGTTCCTTTTTTAAATTGGAATCTTATAAAATTTCTAATTTGCTTCCTTTTCATCTTTGACACTTGCTGTAGAAATTTAGCATTTTTCCAGTTTGATTAAATTTTAAGAACTTTCTTAACACTTTAATGTAGTTCTCTTTTTATGACTGTTTCTAATTATAAACTCATAAATAGTTAGCTTACAATATGAAATGTTTTGATATAAGCTACTATGTGATTTCATCTACTTCTTTTGAGGAAAAAAGCCCTGGCTTTCCTCTAAAGTTCATTGACTTACTTGATTGCAGATTTGAACCACAAAGGAGGTAATACAAGCATTTCCCTAGATTAAATAAATAAAAATAGTGGGTGTTAAGTTCCTCACATTTGAATATGAATATCTTAAGACTTCTCAATATATTTTTTAAAATACACTTCTTACTTATTCTTTGAGTGTGTCTTAGGTATATAGAAAGTAGTTCCTCATATTTCATTAATGTAAAAGAAAGAAAAGCAATTTAAATTGCATGGTGCTCTTGTTTGTCATTGTCTTAATCAGGAGCGAGCAAAAAATACTTATTCCCTGTTATTCCTAAAATGTAAAAGCTTTTAGTTCTGTTTCTCTATTGAAAGAACCTGCTCCTAAAAATATCTCTAAATGCCTTTTTTTGCTGCATACATCTCCCCATCACAATACAGTCTTAGAATTTGCTAGCCATACATGCTACTATCTTATCTATCTTTATATATAACATAAATATGAACATTATTTTCACATTTTACACCGTATGTGTAGCCGGTATGTGCTTCAATTTGCAGGTTGCATGACTGCAGCTGAAAGGTTGGATTACTTGTGGAGGGCCTTACAAAGATTGTCCCCACACTTTCAGTGTTAGATAATTGGCTTCACTGAAGGAAGGTAGCATAAAGTGAGAATGGCTTTATCCACTGAGAGCTCATGATGCCTTCACAGACGTGATGGGGATGTTTGCAGGGAAGCTGGAGACAGTGTCAGTGGTCACCAGACTCAAGTGCCTAAGAGCTCAAAGGAGTCTGGGGAAGAGGGACATTCTGGAGTGTCGCATCTGGAGTGTCCTGGTACAGAGTGGACTACAGATGTTTTTCTTGCTGACTCCACTTGCTCCCTTTCAATTCAGGAGTCTGCCTCCTTCAAAATGTGCACATCCAAATTGTGCATTCTTTTCCTTGCAGTCTTGATTGGAAACTACCAACTGTGCCATAGCTTTGACTCATAAACAAGTCATGTCACTCTGGTTTAAGGAAACTGAGTGCCAATCGTGTCACCCTAAAATGGGAACTGAAAATGTAGGAACAGGTTAAAGCAGTTATTTCTGACTTCGATGACAGCTATTAAGGTGTGGCGAATCGAATTTCTGAAGTGTCTGAGAGGCTCTCCATTTACAGCTGAATGTCTTCACAGTACAAGGTCATTCTCTGCGTGTTCTTTACTTTTGTAGCTGACATGTGATAGACTGGTAGATATTTTTACCTGGGCATATTTTGGGAGCTGTGAAATTGGTGGTATTTATTGAACATTTTGACCCAAATAAATGCAAAATATTACTAATAAGTTAAATTTAAAAGTGAGACAAAATTACATAGTATTGTTCAAGTTTACCTAGGTTTTGCTTTCATTTGCATGCAATGTACTTGGTAATCCTTTGTGAAGCATTAATATTGTTTACTACCTTAAAGGCAGGAAGAAAGCTTGCCCCTACTTATGCACTCTCTTATACTTTGGATTTAATTTTACCTCTCTACAGTAATGCAGTGCAAACTAATAGATCTCTCTCTTATTTTATAGTTTGGGAATACGTGCTACTGCAATTCAGTTCTTCAGGCACTTTATTTTTGTCGACCATTTCGAGACAAAGTCTTAGCATACAAGAGTCAACCAAGGAAAAAAGAGAATCTCCTTACATGCTTAGCTGATCTTTTCCACAGTATAGCCACCCAGAAGAAAAAAGTTGGAGTAATACCTCCCAAGAAATTTATAACAAGATTGCGAAAAGAAAATGGTAACTTTTTTCTTTTTATTGTGTAATAATCATAGCAATTACAATTTAATTCTGAAGCTGGCATAGTGGAATGCCTACATATTTGTTGTTGTACATAGAAAGTGTTCTTTGGTGCTGCAGTATAAACAAGAGATGACCCTGGGATAAGGGTGTAACCCTGGAGCTGTTTTGAGGGAGAATTGCACACCATGAATTGTAACAATATTATCTAAAAAAGCTCTCGGGTAATGTACAATCATTTACCTATGCAGAGTAGAAAACTGTCGTTCCATTCTTTGGCAAGTATACTTGAGTAAGTATGCTTGTCTGCTGATGCATTTACAGAAATAGTTCATTATCCCAAAGCAGAGAATCATTCAAATGGAAAGCAGAAAGTAAACCATGAGAGCCATTAAATTCATTATAGAAAGTGTTCTTTTTAATGTGTAATTATGTTATGCCACTAAAATTCTACACAGGACAAGACAATTTGAAAATGTTTAGAGAAATCAGATGTGAAAGTTCAACTCTTGTTTTCTTTTGGGATGTCTTTTAATGATGATACTCTCACTGTTTGTACAAACAAATAGTAAATTCAGGCTGCAATTATGTGGGCATCATGTATGCTATTGAGTGCTTATTGTAGGGGTATATAATTTTGAGCCTTAAAGAAGAGTTAATTAACCAGGTAAGTATGCAACACCAATCTAGAGTCTGTTTCAGTCACTATACAGCTAAATACCAGGGTGATACCTGAGAACATAATGTATTCCAGACTACAAAGTCATGTTCCATCTTTATTTTCAATACAGCATATGTATACAGCATATGTATATTACACTATCCGCAATCTGGAGAGGGACTTTTTACAAGGGTGTATAGTGACAGATCAAGGGGGAATGGCTTTAAACTGGAAGAAGACAGGTTTAGATTAGATACTAGGAAACAGCTCTCCACTGCGAGGGTGGTGAGGCACTGAAACAGGTTGCCCAGAGAAGCTGAGGATGCCCCATCCTTGGAAATGTTCAAGGGCAGTTTGGATGGGACTTTGAGCAACCCCATCTAGTGAAATGTTCCCCTGCCCATGGCAGGGTTTTGGATCTAGGTAATCTTTAAGAAGCCTTCCAACCCAAACCATTCTATGATTCTCCATTAATGACCGTAAAGTTTAACTGTCTGGGAAGCAGCTACTGGCTTGAAGTCAGCTGGAAGTATTCTGTTACATTTGCATACATTCTTCTAATCATTAAATGAACAATGTGTGGCTTTCATTCTGGTATACTTTATGCTAATTTACTCACTGGGCACTTAGCCCTGAGAGACCTGTGATATAATGCTGTAAAGAACCTCTGAAGTGTTACCTCAAGAGACTTGTAGCTCTTGTTCTGCCTTGATTTACTTGATTAAAGCAAGACCTTAGAGTTGGCTAGATTTGAGTTAGTGAAACTAAGTGTATTGAAAACAGTATAGTAGTTCATTAAACAACATTCATGGTTTATACTCTTGGATGACCCATTGCACTACTTAACCTCTCCAAATTATCTAGATTAGCATGAAGTTTCCTGTACTTCGCTAATAACTTGGGTTTTTTTTTTCTATTTGAAGTTTACTCCTGGATGCCAGTTAAAGCTTCCATGGCGTCCCTGTATGCATTTCAAAACTTAAGTTTCACTGAGTGTCTTTTTCATTCATCTTTCCAGTCCTGTACATTCTTGGACTGCTAACAGATTGAAATAATTGCACATTCGAAGGCTTGTATGATATTAGCCAGTGATATAGAATGCTTTTTAATTTGGCAGGTAAATTTCTTTGTAACAGTTCCTGGTCAGAGAGAAAAGAAGTAACTGTTACTGAATCTGATACAATACCTTTATGGTTTCCTTAGTCCCACTTCTAATGTGAGGATTTCTACCAGGAGGGGATTTCACAGAATCAGAGAATGGGGTTGGTATCCCAGGATATGGTAATAAATGATGTTTTCAGGGTAGTACCAATTTGAACATAAAAAAGAGTAGATTGTAAGAGAGTTCAACTTTATGCTTTAATCTGTATTGTTGCTATACGTCACAAGTATGTGGCAGTGAAACTGTCCCCTTCCACTGAATTAATCTGAAAACTGTTGTGCTTAGAAATGTTGACAAACCGAGGACATGAGGTGGAAAAGCATAGTGAATCCATTGTTATCTATCCAACAAGTTCACCTGTAGTAAAGGTGCCACAAACAGCAGTCTCCAGAAGTAGTGTTTCAGATCTTGAAATGACAGATCTACTTACTACTTGAAGGCCTAATTTTAAACCTGTTTGCTCTTGCTGTGACTGGAACTTTCGGCTAATTAGACACGGCTTCTGCAAATTCCACCTTATATAAAGAGCTGCAATGAGGTCTCCCCAGAGCCTTCTCTTCTCCATTCTGCACAACTGTCTTCACAGGAGAGGTGCTCCAGCCCTCTGATCATCCTCTTGGTCCTCCTCTGGAGCTGTTCTAACATGTCCACATCTTCCTTATGTTGTGTGCCCCAGATCTGGGTGCAGTACTCCAGGTGGGGTCTCACAAGGGTAGAATAGAGGGGGTGAATTACCACCTCAACCTATTGGCCATGCTGCTTCTGATGCAGCCCAGGATGTAGTTTGCCTGCTGGGCTGCAAGTGCACCCTGTTGGCATATGTCCAGCTCTAGCTGTTCTAACATGTCCACATCTTCCTTATGTTGTGTGCCCCAGATCTGGGTGCAGTACTCCAGGTGGGGTCTCACAAGGGTAGAATAGAGGGGGTGAATTACCACCTCAACCTATTGGCCATGCTGCTTCTGATGCAGCCCAGGATGTAGTTTGCCTGCTGGGCTGCAAGTGCACCCTGTTGGCATATGTCCAGCTCTTCATCCCCAAGTCCTTCTCCACAGGGCTGCTCTTAATAAATTAATAGTCTGTACTGTACTCATATCTGGGATTGCCCTGACCCAGGTGCAGCACATTGCACTTGCACTTGTTGAACCTCATGAGGTTCTCATGGGCCCATTTCTCAAGCTTGTCCAGGTCCCTCTGAATGGCATCCCTTCCTTCTATGGTGTCAGCTGTACTGTGCAGCTTCGTTGTCTTATACAAACTTGCTGAGAGTGCACTAGATCCCACTGCCTTTGTCATTGATGGAGATACTGAAGAGCACTGGTCCTAAAACAGAACCCTGAGGGACACCACTCATCACTGGCCTCCTCTTGGACGTAGAGCTATGGACCATACCTTTGGATACATCCAGCCAGCCAATTCCTTATCCACCAAATTGTCCACCCTTTAAATCCATGTCTCTCCAATTTGGAGATATGGATGTCCTGTGGGATCATGTCAAAGACCTTACAGAAGTCCAGATAGATGACATCAGGCTTCTCTTGCCCACTGTTGCAGTCAGTCTATCATAGAAGGCAAAAAAGTTGAGTACCTCAGCCTTTTTTTCATATCTTGGGTAACCATGTCTACTGTTTCCTTCCAGAGAGGGCTCACATTTTACCTGATCTTTCTTTTATCACCTATGTAGCTGTAAAAGCTTTTCTTCTTGCCTTTGACATCCCTGGCCAAGTTTAATTCTATCAGCTTTCCTAAGCTGCTCCCTAGCTGGTCAGACAATTTCGTTGTATTCCTCCCAGCTTATCTATCCTTGCTCTGAGTGTCTGTAAGTTTCTTTTTTTATATTGTACTTTGTCAAGAAGCTCATTGTTCATCCATGCAGACCTCCTGGTGTTTTTGCCTGACTTCCTCTTTTTTGGGATGCATCACTGCTGAGCTTGGAGGAGGTGATTAACCAGTTTTTTGGGCCCCTCTTCCCTCCAGGTGTTTATCCCATGGTGCTCTACAAAGCAGATCCCTGAAAAGGCCAATGTCTGCTGTCCTGAAGCCCAGGGTAGTGAGCTTGCTGTGTGCCCTTCTTGCTGCCCTGAGGGTCTTGGACTTCACCATTTTAGGGTCACTGCAGACAAGGCTACCCTTGAGCTTCATGTTCCCCCCAGCCCCTCCTTGTTGGTGAGAACAAGGTCCAGCATAGCACCTCTCCTCATTGGCACCTCTATCTCTTGGAGAGAAGGAAGTGTCCACCAATGCATTCCAAGAACCTACTGCACTGCCTGTGCCCTGCTGTGTTCTCCCTCCAACAGATGCTAAGGTGGCTGAAGTCCCCAGTGAGAACAAAGACTTGTGAACATGAGGCCACTCCTGTCTATTTGTAGAGGGCCTCATCCCTCTCATGTAGGCAATGAAGCATCATATAGATGATGAAAAGTTTCTTGTCGTGAGTTCTCGGTTCATTTCTGGAAAATATCGACATCTAATGCCATTGGAGATGCCCTGTGTTATCCAAGACATTGACCTAAGCTTGGCAGAGATAGCATAGCCCCTGTAGGAGATCCAGTGGCATCTGGAGACTCAACAGGATGAACTATAACATTTCAGGTTACACTATACATACACCTGTGTTTAGGTAGTTGAATTGTGCCCTAGTTTTTTGCAGAATGGTTCAGCCTTCTGTTAATTCTGGTCAGCTAAGCAATTTCTATGAGTGTAAGCTGACTTTCTGTCCCTTCTTCCCACCCCCTGTATTTTTAACCTAGTTTATCAAGTATGCGTTTTGGGTTGGTGTTATATTGTGATGAATGATTCAACATGTGAAATAAAGGACTGGTTTTGAAATTTGACTCTCAAAATCTTTCTTATAGCATGAATCAATTAATTTAAAAAATCTATTGTTTTGTCTTATAGAGCTTTTTGATAACTACATGCAGCAGGATGCACATGAGTTCTTGAACTATCTATTAAATACAATTGCGGATATCTTGCAAGAGGAAAGAAAACAGGAGAAACAAAATGGTCGCCTACCTAATGGCAACATTGACAATGAAAATAATAGCCCACCAGACCCAACCTGGGTTCATGAAATCTTTCAGGGAACATTAACTAATGAAACCAGATGTCTTACGTGTGAAACTGTAAGTCTGTATAATCTTTGTAAAATGAATTCTACTGTGTTTCACAACTTTGTGTTTCATGACTCATTTATCCCAAAAGATGAACATACTAGATTAGTTTCTTTCTTTAGTGATCTTGTATTTGTATGAACATTTGCATTTTCCCTTTGTTAGTGAGAACATTTCAGCAGCTGATGCATGAATTGTAGGAAGAGGCATTTGATCAATACTAGGAAGATGCCCAAGTGAATTTTTGTCAGTGTGATCATAATCCACTTCAAATTTTAGATCAGAAAATTCCAAATTGATGTATTCTCAAGAGCAATGGCGCCTGCTACTCGAGGGTGTGAAATTTTTCTCTAATGTCTTAATAACTTAATGTCATGCTTTGTGATACATTCCATAAATAAGTACTCTGAATCAGTTTCCATCGATTTCTAGTTTTTAAATTTAAAGCCATTGAAATAAAGATACTGTGGTTGGTTTTTGGCACTGAGACAGTAGACCAGAGTTCTCAAAAAAACAGAACTTAATGTGCAGGAAAAGTAATCCTTTCCTAAATGTCTGTCCATAGGAATTCTTCTAATACTACACCCTGACCAGTAAACTCTTTCTTTGAGTACGCTGTATTAACATTTTCTTTGAGAAGTTCTATAATCAGAGAGAATGTATTTCATAAAAACTTATAATTGAATTTTACCAGTTTGAGAAAGAGTAAAAGCAGAACAGTTTGAAAATTACAGTAATTCTGTCATGGTCTATGCCTGAGAGATTGTAAAAAGCTAAATGACTGTGGTTTTTTTGTATGACTCTTCATACCTATTTTCTTTAACTTAATTGGTTAATGCACATATTTCAGCATGATGTTGGAAAGGAGGAATTAATCAAATCCATATATTTCACATGTAATTTTCTCCATCTTTTAGAAATACCCACCTCTCTTATTTGGAAGAAAATAGCTTCATGATGTCATATGTAATGTAACTGCAGACTTTGAGTAATTTAGGTGCTGATTTCTAGCTACCATATTTTCTTTTCTGATAGATTTCCCCTCCCTAATAAGCATTTCTTGGCAACTGTCAGTTGCCTCTCTTTTAGTTCCTGAACTGTTGGGGTTTTTTTACTACTTGAAACATGAGTTTGGCTTAGTCTTTTATCATGACTGACATTATTACCTTTCCTCACTGTGGCATAGTGAATTACTGCTGTCAGGATTTTGATCTAGGTACAGTTCTTAGTGCAATTTTAAGATGCTGATGCACTCTTTTCTATCGTATTTTATTAGTTACCAGGCCTATCACAATTTTGAGAATTTTACTACACTGCTTAGTTCTGTTTTCCTATTAGCTGTTGCTGAACAAGATGTGCCATGTTGGTTTGCCACTGTGCCTCCTTGGACAGTTGAACTTTAAATTCAGTGTTCTAATATACATTGGGTCTTAGTACATTTGTTTCCCAAGGCCTAGTAATCTGGTAACTAACTCATCAGCTTCCATCTATTCAGTATATCAGCTTGTGTCTAATTAAAACACAGTGAACTGAAAATGAGCACTTAGAAACACCTTTGGACACATTAAATAAGTAATATTCGTGTAAATTATGTCTTGTTTTCATATACAGTGAGTATATACAATTGTTTTAATGTTTATTAGAAGCTGTTGGCATTTAGATTCTTTCTGTGTTTAGAAATGTAACTTAAAATGTCAGGAGTGCTTGGATATAGCTCATGTAGAAGATTGCACAGCAACAGTGGGTGGGTTAGTGCTCGTAATGATAAGACAATAACCTTAGTATATTTTTAATTTAAATTTAGAATTTCATCTTTGCTCAAAGTGGCAATGATTATCTTCTAATTGGCCAAACCTACTCAATGTTTCTAAAATGAGCATGGCAAAACTCAGTTCTAATTTTAATTGTCCTGGTTATAGACAAGAGCATCTTTCCAGGATGAATTGTTTCATCAGATAAAAAATCGACTGACTAAAGGTTTAACCTCAGTTTAAGTATGGACCAGTGGAACATAAGGAACATAGATAGGATTCTTTAACAAAGATTTGTGTTGTGGATCAAGCCACACTATTAAGTCAATGTTACAAAAGGGATTGTAACTTGTCTTTACATGCTTTGCATGTGATTTCTTGTTATAATATTTTCACCCTTCCTTGATAGAGGCAGTATGATGAAGTGAATGTAAATTTTATGGCTAATTGCTAAAAATGATCTAGGAGTTAATGGGTTGTACAGATTTATTCATGGTCTAAGGAAGAATAGCAGTAAACCAGAAAAAAAAGATAAAACTCAAAACAACTTAATGTGGCCGGTACTTCTACAGAGGAAAATAGGAAATTGTCTTGAGTCAAAAGCACCATACATAATAATGTTTTCTTCAGGTGCTGGTCTTGCTCTTGTGTCCAAGTGACTCTACAAGGCATAATATTCTTTGGCTCAGTTCTGCTTTGGACTGAAAGAAGGCAGTAAGGAATATCTCAGTGCTCTCTCTTACAGGACTACTACAGAAGTGTTAACTATGCCCTATTTGGTTTTTTCCTCACTTTTTTTTTCTTAACCAAGATAAACCTTTTGTTTCAGCTTCTTTTAAAACTTCTTTCTGTCCTAACACACAAGGGAGTCTACAGTTGCAAAATCTCTTTTGCCAGTGAGCTGATTTACATTGCTAGTGAAATTCCAAACTGGAAGAAATAATGGAGTCCATGAGTGTTAGCCTTCTGAGCTTTCTGTTCTGTGTGGATTTGGTCATCAGAGTACAGCTGAGCTGTTTGAGTGCAGATTATGTCCTTGATGTGAGGACAGCATACTACCCCCTTTATCCAGAACACTGGAACACCCAAATTCTTCACTATTACTCAGATGATCCTGTTAGGAGCACTCATATGGCTTTTGGAATACATCAGGGCCTGACTCTGCAAGTGATGAGGTTTTCTGATCGTGTCCATCTATTTTTATTTATGGACATGATTGAAATAGATGGCACTGATGACTGTAGTCCAAGGAACTTAGTGATGTTTCTGTTAAACAGAAGCTTTACAGAAGGGGGGGCTGGTAAGAGTGGAGAGTGGCTTTTTTTTATGTGGTGGGTTTTTTTAGTTAAAACTGTATGAGTTGATGTTGAAAAACTGTTCAAATACTCATGTTCAATTGAGAAAAGCAATTTATCAAGATAAATGGAAAAAAATCCACTTGGCTATTCCTTCAGTAAAGCCTTTAATGGCTCCTCACCATCCTAACTGCACAATGGCTTGGCTAACTTGCACAGGGAATTGAAATACTCCTTTTGTGAACTTCTGTTTTCATTACCAAACTCTTTTTAGCCAAGTACAACACATCCCTTCTCTCTTCTCTGTATCCTCTCCTTCCTTACAGTTTCTGTGTGGGATTGAAGCTGCATGTGAAATCTGCATTGTTTCATGGAATTTTCTTTGATTAGACCAAGGGAGGAAGAATTATCTGATTGCATGTCTGAGTAACAGTGATCATGTGACTCCTTAATTCCAGCCGTCCTAGCTGAAAAGCTGAAGCAGCAAAGTACCTTCTAGAAGTGATTTTTGTTCCCCTGAGCCATTCTTAATCCTTCAGCTACGATGATTTCCACCAGAGTTCTTAGTGGTTTGTTAGTGTTATACACTCAGGTTTGACAATTCCCAAAGTGTTTTGCAATACAGTGTTTTGAAGAATTGTTCACACAACTAAACCATAGTACATCCCTGAAGACAAGAAATGTGCAGCACGCTGAAGATGCAGGTGGCTTTTTTTCCACCCTAAACATATTAGAAGTTTTCCATATATGTTCCTTGATCTCTCTGAAAGTATAAACATTATACTTCAGCATCTGAATGGTGCAGTGGATATGATGTGTGGTATAGTGGCTTTTTTTACATGCACATTTACTCTTGGAAAGATTAGATAGAGAAGACTGGGAGGAATCCTTGTCCAGTCCTCTCACAGATATCAAGAGACGCTTTCAGCTTAATTTCAGCTGTTGGATTTGCCCTATGGTATTAATTCTTAAAAAATAGTTGTCTTGACCACCTGCTTTTTTTCTGTTTCTCTCCATGTTTGCCACCTATAGGAGCTCTGTGTTTCTTACCTCTTCATAACCAGAGAACAACTTCCGAAGTTTTTCTTTTATTCTGAGTTGAAAGGGGAACATAAGCCTCATATGTTTTAAAGATGATCTTACATTAGTTCTCCTGTAACTGTTTAACTCTTCCTGCATTCAGTCAAGAAACTGCAGCCAGGCATCTTTTCTAAAAGTATTTACGTTTGTACCTTAGGCAAAGGACATTCTCATCAGTGAGTATCTCTAGATACAGAGAGGACACACTAACAGACAAAGGTTAAGGTTGTAGATTACTATTTTCTGAAACTTTAATAACGTAGTTAATTTTCAGGGCAGCTGTGGATTTCATTTATCATTTGTCAAGATTTGTGGTGGAATTGATTTTCTGCTTCTAGAACTTTCTGTTTAACTTTGTTTTGCTTGCATTTTTGTGAGAAATGGCTATGCATGATTCTGCCTCTATTAGACCAAGCCTCAAACTGTCATTTACCAAATGGAAGAATCCCAGTGATTCTATTCTTTTGAAAAGAGTGAGGTGTGGAAGAAACTTGGCATTAGTACTGTTGTGCTGACAACTGGCATTATATATACCCAGAGACACATACACACTTCCCTCTTCTTGAAGAAAATCAAAAACGAGACCTAGCAAATCTCTGAAATAGGCCACTTGTAAAACCTTTTGAAAGGATGTTATGAGGGAGCAGATGCATTGTCAATAGAAAATGGTACTGAAAACAGGTAAATTGGTATAACTTGTTTTAACTGGGTTCTATTGGGGTCTTTTTTCATGCAGATAAGCAGCAAAGATGAAGACTTCTTAGACCTTTCAGTTGATGTGGAGCAGAATACTTCAATCACTCATTGTTTAAGGTAGACAGAAAAATCTGAATTTTTGTAATTTGTCTTTACCTGTTACCTAGAAAACAGGATGTAAAATTAAAAGCTCACTGTTCTATCTTATGTATATTTAAGTGTATGAAATTATGTTTATGTTGTAAATTTATATGGATTTTTTTTTTCTAAGAAACTAGTACTTACAGCATGTTTTTTTATTCAGGGGTTTCAGCAATACAGAAACTCTGTGCAGTGAATACAAATATTACTGTGAAGAATGTCGCAGTAAGCAAGAAGCACATAAAAGGTACATCACACCTAGGGAAGGAAAGAAAATAATTCATGCATTTCCTGAAAATACTCTTATATTTCCTTTTGTGTGTGAATGTCTTGGGGAGAGGACGTCCTTTTTCCCTTAATTTTTCTCACTCTTCTTCCACTTAAGAGTAACTTGGTTGCATTCCTCTTGCTTGAATTCAATGAGTCTTATTTCCATTAGTAATGGGAATCCATGTAAAGTATTTGGGGACTCCTTTGATCATTATTTATTTTACAAATTAGGAAAAGAATGATCTTAAGACCAAAAATAAGTTAAAAAAACAAGTTTCAATAGTCCGTGACTAATCAAAGATTATTGGCAATGACAAAAAGTCATTGGTTGCATGTGACTTTTTAAACTTGGTTTTGTCTTGATACTAAAATAATTTTTCCAGTTGCTGCAAGAATCAGTTTGATAGCACTTTTTGTAACTCTTAGTTAACTGAGTTTCTAGTTTCTTAAAAGTGTTTAATTAGTTGTGCTATACTTCTGCTTGACAGTGCTCTTGAAAATCATCAGAAGCTCCATGGAAGCCTGAAAATCATTATGTTTAAAAACAATTCTTCTCTGCCTAATAATTCTTCTAGTCTTGTTTACACCTTTGAAAAACCTCACATTTTGTGTACTGTGTGGTATTTACTATCTCAGAAAGTATTTGGTTGAAGGAGTGGGAACACTGACATGCTCTACTGGTTATACCACTGATGGTGGTTATTTGGTTTACCATAGATTCAACACACAGCTTTTGCATATCTCATCTGCCAAGTCTGCCTTTACATGCTGTCTGAGCTTTCCAACCGGTGTCTATTAAAGAGTTGTGGATCTAGGTCTGGCTTGTTATTTTCTGTTGCCTTAGCTGTTTTTCTGTGTGGGAGGTAATGTGATCCCTGACCAATTTAAACTTGTTGGCATAAACCTGTACTGTAGGCACTTCTGTATTGGCAAAACACAGCTTTGATTGTTTATATTTTGGTTTTCATGTAGAGCTTAAGTTCAGTTTCACTACAGTCATATTTTCCTTCCATCACTATAACATGGAGCTTATGTGTGATGGAGTCTGCTCAACTAGCAAAAGGTAGTGTACTGAATTTCTTCACCAGTGAAAGAGCTCCTATTGGCAAACAGAGCTGCATCATAAAGAGAGGGCAGAGTTTAAAAGAAAGAAATAGAGCAGAGATTTTATAGCCATAATATAATTAAAATGTAACTGCCTAAAAATAGTTGCTTCTGTCATCTTTCTGCCCTTCTCCAGCTATTTTCATTTCCTAGTTTCCTTGCAGGCATGGAGAAAATTTGAGTCTAGCAGGGTTTCCTATAGGTTGCTATCAGTCTTAAGTTTAATGAGAAACAGGGAAGGAAGGTGAGTTGCCAAGGAATTTGTCCACAGTCCCCTATCTTTTGAAAAAGATTGTCTTGTACAAATATATTTCCTGAAATTCTGAAAATATGGGCTTAGTAAACATGTCTGAAACCTGGACTGTTTTGTTGAGACTTTTGAGCTACCTTTCGGGGCTGAAAGCAGTCTGAAAAATTCAGCACAGTGCTGATCTAAGGCAATTAATTGGCTGTGCCAAGAAGCAGAGCGCTCTAGCTTGGTTGTTTTGTTAGTATGAGCAAATTTATTGTCCAAAGAGTGGAAGTCTGTTTCCTGCCAGGCCAGCTATGATTGGCTGAGGAGCATTTGTAGGCAGTGGTGTGAGATCTCAGTACCTCAAACTAGGGAAAGGGGCCAGTGAGCTCTCAGTAAAACTAGATTATCACTTTCTAGCTTTGACTGCCATAAAATGTTGCTGCAACATTTGTACAAAGCTGCTGTGCTGGAGCACAGCCTTATCTTGTTTGGGTAGCAGGAGGTAGGTGAATAACAGTGAGCTATTTGTTGTATCTCTTGGCAATTTTAAATGAATGGCTTGATAGAAAAACCGAGTAATATTTATGTGAGAAAGTGGTGTAACAAAGCATGTTTGACTTGGCTGGTTTACTGAGAAATTCAGCTGGAACAGGATCTCTGAAACAACTTTGTTGCAATATCTCTACTGTATACCAAGTGGGATCTAAGTTTTGCTTCTGGGAACTCAGAAAGTTAGGGGTAGATATGTTTAAAGATTTAATTCTGTGCTATTCGGTCACTGTGTCTAAATTATTATGTGGGTTCATCATGATTGTTCTTATATGTTATAGCTTATTGTGTTAAATACACTTGCAATTCTCTCAGTTGGTAAAAATCCACCTTTAGTTTATCAACACAGGACATATTTTTAAACAGCTGATTATCTGAGTTTCTTTTAATGCTTGCAAAAATATTTAAAGATTTTGGTAAGACAGGTTTCCTGTTTGTTGATATCAACTGAATGTTGGAAATACTATAGTTTTTTTGGTTTGTTTTTTTTTCAGGATGAAAGTAAAAAAGCTGCCTATGATTCTAGCTCTCCACTTGAAGAGATTTAAATACATGGATCAGCTGCATCGATATACAAAACTCTCTTATAGAGTAGTTTTTCCTTTAGAGCTTCGTTTATTTAACACCTCAGGAGATGCCACCAATCCTGACAGAATGTATGACCTTGTTGCTGTGGTAGTTCATTGTGGAAGGTAATAACTCTATTTTAATAAAGTAAGGGCTTTTTCTAGAAGCTTAGCTATGTTTAACAAAACAGCACAAAGCATGCAGTATCGTATGAATCAATAGCATTTAAAGACCTTTTAAAAGAAAAGTTTCTTAGAAAAGGTGTGGTGGGTAGAAGCTACCAGTCCTAAGAGAACATGTAGCTTTGTTGCTGTGACAGTTCATTGTGAAAAGTGATAATGGTGTATCTCACATCACAGATCTTGGTATGAACTTAACCATATTTAAAACCTTCCCCCACGAAATACACAATAACTTATAATAATAATAACATTTAAAACAGTTTCTAAACAAAAAAGGTTTCTTAGGAAGGAAAGCATTATAGAAAGATTAATTTATAAAGCATTTCCTTTAGGATGAGGCTCTTTTCTTAAGGCTTGAGTAACATTTTCTGAAATACAGCAATATATTATGAGTTTCATTGATTACTTTGTTTCATTACTTTAAGACTGTAGATGAACAGCAGTTCCAAAGCTTTTTCATTCAGAAGATCAGAAATATTTTGGGATCTGTTCTGGCTCTATGAAACATGAAAATGTTTTCCTAGTTTCATTTCTCTGTCAATGCCTGTGCTGCTTATTCCTCATTTGAAATTATAATCCTTTTTTTAGCACAATATTAAATATAAACAAGACCTTATTATGAAGATGACATGAGTGGCAAAACAAAACGAGAAGAAACAGCCAAACAGAAGTTGTAGTGGTAGCCATTTTAATTACTGTGAAGTGTTGCTTTTCTACAAGAAAAAAACAGTTTAATGAAATATGTTCCTACATACATTTGTGTTATTGTCTGTGTTCTTTTCTAATTTTATTTTACAGTGGCCCTAACAGAGGACATTATATTGCAATAGTGAAGAGTCATGACTTTTGGTTGCTTTTCGATGATGATATTGTTGAGGTAAGCCCAACCAGAGTGCATGCACCCCCTTGTGTATGACTACTTAAAAGTAAAATGACTAATGAAACTCTAAATGAGCAATAGCTGTTGAGTGCAGAGCTGTGCTTTACAATTTGACTCTACAATACTTTGCATTTAGGGTTTTGTATTTAAAAGAAGATCCTTTCTTTATGACCACTGCCTTTCATCTTTGTTCACAGCTCTTCTGTGGGTGGAAGACATGGCAAATAAAGATACAGATAAAATGGGTTTACTGCAGTTCTTTCTGAGGCCAATTTGTTGGAGCAAGTCATTTGTATTTTCTAGGAGCTTATGATTTAATGGAATAGATTAGTCTGGTAGTCTGTTTATCTGGTATCCTGAATTGTTTCGGATGAAGGTGTGACAAATAGCAGAATAGGCAGAAACTTCAGATTTTCGAGATTTCAACCTAAAGTTTATAAATTAATCCCTGAAACAGGAGCCTTTGACTTCCAGTCATATACTTGCTAATATTAGCCATGCCTCCAGGAATTATTCTTAATAGGGAAAAAAATTGGTTTCTAACTAATTTCTTGGAACAGCAGAATTCCCTTCGCCAATTTTGACTTTGTGTTTCATCAGTTCTTTTGTATTCTTCACTGACAATATTTTTCTGCCATCTTCCTTTTTTCCTCCCTTGTCTATGTTGATGCATGAACAGAAGTATGATTGTGCTGAGCGAGTCCTTTTCATGACTTTGCTTGAATTAATTAAATCTATAAAAGGAACAGTTTCCATTTTCCTTGCAATACACAAGAACTGCGTAATTAAAAAAAAAGATAAATGAGACAGGTATTAGACTTTAATTTTTTAATTGTCAGAATGAGTCAAAAGTATGGAAGAGTTCTTCTCCCCAAGCTACATTGTGAACAGTTTTTCACACAGGAAATTACAAACACTGAAGTACACAGAGCTGTTGGGCAGGTAAAAGGATTGCCTGTATGTCCTATCAAGATACACAGTAAATTGAAATGCCTTGATAAGGTCAAAAGTTCACTTTCCTCAAGTGAAAACAGAGAGCGCTGTAGCAGATCTCACAGCATTTCACAAACATGGACAGTCTCTCTAGTTCCAAATCAGTAACATCTGGCAGTGGTGTATTTTTTTTCCTCATAGTTCCTCTGAAGAGAATGGAAAGAATCTTTTTGTCCTTAAGTCTAAACCATCTCATTGACATTTAGGCCTATAGTTCATCAAGCTGGAATAGCTCACTCCTTCCTGAGGTAGGCTTTATTCCAAATAATGGGAATGAGATTAAATAAAACCTACCTAAGTAAGAGAAAATTTATCTTTCCACCTTATTGTTGTTTGTAGCCTAATTGGCTTTGATTTAAAATGTGTCAAGAGAACTTGCTTTCAGTTTCAGTTTCTTTCATAGCTGAAAATTATGTCAAAACCAGACAGTACTCTTTTCACCTTCTCAGCAGAAGTTTTCCATCTTTCACCGTATATCTTGCTTGTGGGAGGCTTCCTAAGCTAACAGGATCACAAGCAAACATCTGGAGTGAAGAACATAAAAATTATGCTTCATTCTTTGCCTTTTTATTGTCCTCTGCACTTGTTCAGATTACACTGTTCAGAGTTAGAAATGGTAGTTTGTACTTACATTCTTCATATTGACATAAAGACTCAGTGGGATATTGTCTTTAAAATTCCTTTGTGTGAAATTTGTGCGAGCAATGCACATAAAGTTGCACTCATAGTAGGTTCACTTAATACTTAAAAATGTATGTATAAAACATATATAGCTGCTACCCTCTGTGCAGTTGATGGCAGAGGGGAAGCCAAAACATAACAAGTTTAAGAATTGTTTGGATTTTATTACTTTATGTAATTATGTTAAAGTTATTTTGGTTTGACAGTAATTCTTAGAGTGGAACTTAACGTTATGTGTATATTATGCAAGATATTTCTACTTTAAATTTCTGGGTTTTTACATACAGAAAATTGATGCACAAGCTATTGAAGAATTCTACGGGTTGACATCAGACATCTCAAAGAACTCTGAGTCTGGTTACATCCTCTTCTATCAGTCTCGGGACTGAGAGGGAACTGTAGTGAAGAGAGATTTTAGTGTCTCACGTCTTCTCTATCCTGGAATGGAGCAAGCACTAAAGAGAAGGAAAGCAGGGAGCTCCGGAGGCAATAGCACAGTTTGCACACAACTAAGCAAAGAGTTTGGGATTCTTTAAACCTTTGTATCATTTTCATTTTATTTGCTCAGGTATCATGCTGACTACACATCTCCACTTCATCCCATAAGCAAAAAGAGAGATACCAGCCACTCTTGCAGGAGCTTTCATTTGGGTAATACTATCTCTGTGGTCCTAGTTCAAAGCCCATTAAAGTCACTGGAGAACCTTAATGAACTTCAGTGGAATTTGAATCAGGTTCTAACTGCACTACCAGATTGGTGCAGTAGGAGCATTAGAAATGTCTATTTTATAGAGACTTTGTGTTTAGAAGATAAAGGACTCTTTGTGAAGTTAGTTAGCTGTGCTTAAGTTTGAAAAATGAGGTGCAGAAGGTTAACATGTAAGCAAGAAGATATATCTGGGCCCAACACAAATGCCTTCTTGATGGTAGTAGTTTAACTGAAGGTGTAAACTGGTGTCAGGGAGGTAAGTATGTTTTGCTTCTCTGAAGGAGCTCACACTATTTATAATGTATGATCGGGAACAATCAGTCAAGATTATGGCTTTTAATCTCCGTATGGGGAAAGATTTGGTTTGTAATAGTTTATTTTTATTTATAAATTATTGTAACTTAGGATCTTGTGTATTGTCCTTTATTCTAATGAGTATCGGAAATTGTGTATATTAATTTGAATTAAAACTAATCATGTCTAAATGTTAAAGAAGAGCCAATATAAATTATAAAAACAATGCCTACGATACTGTAAAAATTAATAACTCTGAAGAGAGAATTCCTTCTGGATGAACTGGTATCTAAATTAGGTACTTTATTTAATTAAATTAGAATGTCCTCTTTCCATTAATGGGTGAAAAAAGTGAGCAAACTATTACACAGAAGACTGCAAGAATGCATATCATAAGAAAATGGTGGTGCAGTGGTGGTATACTGGTCTTTATAGTTCTTTGATACTTTGTTAATGGCTCAAACTCTAAGCAAATTAGAATTATTTGGATCAAAGTGAACAATTTTAAGACTATTATTCCCTCTCCTGAAAAAGGATCAGCTTCTGTTAAACATTAAATTACGTCTGAGTAATAAGGAGAAATAGGCTTGGAATTTCATGAGACTGAAGACACCACATTCCTTTAAAATTAATAATATTTAAGTCCTACAGAGTGAAATTTCTGAAACTAGGCAGATTACCTTGCTTTAGGTTCATGAAACAGCATTAGGAATTAAATCTTGACAAAACACCTGATCTACAAGAAATGTGAACTGTTGTGATTTGACATTCTTCACTTAGGAGTACATTGTCTGACAGTAGCTGAATGTAATTTCTGGAAAGTCGTGGGATGTGCATTCCAGATTATGGCAATCAGGTCTTGGATGTCCTTGTCACTCCCTCTCAGCTAGTGATTTTTACATTACTGTAATTTTCTAAGGTTGTTTTCTTGATACTGTTACAGCTTCTGAAAAGAATGTCTCCTGTCTGCTGCTATAACTGACTATTTACTTACCTATATCTTTTAGCTCAGGAAATGACTTCACCTATTCACACAGTGGAACAAATCTTTAACAGGGTCACTAAATAAATTAGGCTGTTTAGCAACTGTCATACTGTAACAAATTGCTTTTGTAAGACACGGTGTTTCTAACACCTTGGTTTAGCTAGAATTCTTTTATAGAAGATTATGTATCATGATTAGACTACCAGCATTGTGAAGTAAAGCCTAAATATGGCAGAAAAATATGATTGGATTTTTCCTAGTGGATTCAAATAATGTTAAAACCTTCTTTCAGCTTTCAGTAGGAAAAGGGTTAAAGGGGTAAACCAGTTGGATAGTGGTGGATGTTAGAAGCATGAAGTCCTTTGCATACTAAAGGTACAGTATTGCAAAAGAACTGTCATATTACTTTTTTGCTAATTTAAAATGTTTGGAGTCCTTTCTCTTTTTTTTATTTTTCTGTAGTTAAAAGCTGAGGCTAGTTGCTAAATATTTTATACCCTAACAAAATTTAAAACATTTTTGTTGTTTCACTGGTTTTACTCCTGCTATGTATTTTTATAAGATACTGACTTTTATTTTGTATAGGGGTTTTGAGATAGTATTCCAAATTATATATTTCATTTTTCTTTTAGTGCAGCTGAAGTAATTGTAAGTTCTTAATTAAACTGATATCAGAAATTGCAACTTAAAAAAGGTTAGAAGAGACAGAAAAATACAAAATATCACTGGTATGTAAAACATTATAGGGTTTTTTTCTTGACTGTAATACAGTGAGGAGTGTGGGAAAGTCGTCAGTTGTTGTAAATGGTGGAAATTACTTGCTGTGTAACTATGTAAATGTTATTGGGACTACAGTCCCTTATTTTGTATATTGGAGCAAAAAACTTCTATTAAATAAAGTATGTTCTCTAAAGGTACGTAGTGTATCCTTTGTGGAGCTTGAAGGGTCACTCAGCTGCCTACTGTGCTTAGCAGTGTTTTCAAACAAAAAACCGATCTGGAGCTTGCTGTGTTAAGGTAACTGCTCTGAGCCACGGAGGGAGAAGTGTGTTTAAGTACACTACATTATGTATCTTACTTGATGTGCTGTTGTGAAAGTTGTTGGCTGGGAGCTGTGTTTTGGGTGGTGTGCTTCTCTGGGATTAGTTCTTCAGTAAGCAGCGGTTTCTGAGATAGAGGAGAAGGGAGTGTTTTGAAATACTGTTCTTTCTGGATGTCTATTTCCTGTAAAAAATGTTTACCTTGCTACAAAATGTGTCCAGGTTACCTAAGGGATTTATTGGGTCGCCACCTTGTGGGAGGAAAAACAGAAGGAAAGAAAAACGATAGTGTTTGCAGCACTAACATACAAGACTGCCTGACACAGAACGGGAGTCCAAGCATCAGAAGAAAAAGGTGCAGCTGGTTACAGTATCCACATGTGATTTGGTATCATTCTTCACCTGGAGTACACACTACTTTTGTAATGAATGTACTTAGGGTGTTACAAACAGCTCATACTCTGCTATATTTGTAGTTGTGATGACCATATCCATAGCCTTTCATTGCTTGGAAATGGTGACTTTTAGGTTTTCAGGTTCTTGTATGAATGGTTAGATCTAATTGTGTTTTCAGAAGTTAGTCATAAATCAGATTGCATCTCCTTAGGTGGCATTCCGGTGTTAGCATGTAGGGATTTGGTGCCACTTCAGATCCTCTGCCACGCTCTCTGACATCTGCATAGGACTGGCAGGTGTAACACAAGATCCACAGAAGATCTGCCTCCTGGAGCAGCCACTTGAAGCCAGATGGGACATCCTGACTTGTTCCCCGTGTCTCTGTCTCAGTGTTTCCACAATCACTGTTGCATATGCAGCATTTGGATCATACACAGATGGAAGTCTGTATTGCTCAGTTACTTTTTTCTTGTGGTGATATTTGTAAAGTTTGTAAAGAGGCCTCTAGTTACTTTTCTAATTCCCTTATTAAAATTAAAGGAACATTGTCATGTGCTGTTTGGTCTGGTCTCTCAGCTGCAGGTTTAAGATGGTCATCTATGGTCATTATTAAGCTCATTCACTAGAAAAAATTTTGATACATGAAATCTTCAGTCTTCATTTACCAGAACTTATTTCATTTTGTTTCTTCTTAACTTTTCCTACAGAAATTCCCTGTTGCCCTTACCGGAAAGATCTTAATTCTGTATGGTTGTCATAAACTCCTCCTAACATTAATTGTAGTCTCTTAACTAAGTGTTCGTGCAAAATTAGTAGTTGTCCCTTAGGATACTGTAGCATGGATTATAGAAGGATAATGATGAATTCTCTTACACACAAAGCTTTGTCTGCTTACACGCCTGAAGGAGTGACATCTTCTTTTCTGTTTAACTGCTGACTTTGTTCAGTGACAGAATTCAGCTTGGGCTGAAATGTGGAGAGTGGAGGCTTCGAGAAAGTGTTAAAAATGCATCAGCAACTGAGGATGCCAAAAAGGTTTGGATGGATGTGGCTTCGTTTGGGTTTGTGGTTTTGGTTTTTTGCTTTCATTTTTGGGTTTGTTTGGGTTTTTTTAAGTTGTCTGAGAGCACTTATTTGAAACTATTCATAGATGAAACCAGCAATACAAACATCTTTTCAGTTACCTCTACCTGTAAGAGAAGAAAACTTTATTTCAGTACATCTGTGGGCTGCACTGTTACATTGCAGATACTTTTGTGACTTTTCTGAAAGTTTAAACAATCCAGGTACAGCTTGTTCGCTTTCAGAGAGTGGCTTTACAGGGTAAGATGTCCACTTTGACCCCCAACATTTGGGTTGTGTGTCTTAGAAATTCAGCGGGGGGGGTTTCCCTCTTGATAACGCAATATGCTCATTTTGTGGTTTTGGTCTTGTAAAGCTTCAAAGTCCTCTAACCTCTCACAGCATAATGTGAGACATACAATGTATTAGTCTCTTCATTTGTGAGCCTCCACGTACTCAATTATTACTGAAATTAATATTCTACATAATGTGTATTCAAGAGTGGTTCATTTTTCAGCAGCTTTGATACTGATTGATTGCTACAAATGAACTGTGCAAGTCAACTACCATGCAAGCAAACACAGGCTTCATCTTTTAAATACAGAGATCTCAGAAATCTATAGGTTCCAGTTTTAGCAATAGAGTGTGATGCACTCTATTGGCAGAAATGGACTTTTCTTTGGTCTGTATCAAAAAATGTTCTTTGGAGGAATTTTGTTAGAATGTGTTGAATATATAAGGATGATTGTTTGTAGACATCACCAGTTTTGAAATGATCTGAGTAATATCTTCCAGTTTTCTCACAGAAGCACAAATAAATTACATTGTTTCTTTCTCTCTGGTGGCCTGTGATTGCTGCCTGCATAAGAGATTGTAAGGGCTCAGAAAAGGGCAAGGTACTTTGTACCTAGCTCTTTGTTATAGAACCTGTGTTGGCAGCATTAGGGAGCTTTAATTACAGAAGGATCATCAGTTGTGTCCTTGATCTGCATTCTGCAGGT